TTGCTCTTTTTAAAAAATGGTATGTTTGCTAAAGAGCAGAACAGAAATAAATGACTCTTGTGCCTCAAAACACTGAGAATAGACACCCCACAGTATGAAAGCCTAGCCAAACCAGTTGAGAATCAACCCACATCATTGGCCTCCCTAATGTACACAGCCAACTCCTTCTCTCCCAAGGGAGGAGAGAATTGAGGATTTCTAAATCCCCTGCTGCAATGAGGTGTATATACAGCTCCTGGCTGCCATCCGGGCCTGATTTAAAGCTCATTGCAAAGACTCCCATTCATTTTAATGCACTTTGGACCCAATACTTAGAGTTGGAGGAATAGCATGATTCAGAAAATTCTGGGTCCTGCTGCTTAAGTGTGGGACTATAGGCTCACCTTAGATCTGGGTGAACTATGGCTTTAAAATGGAGCTGGGCTATTGGCATGAGTAGGCCCAAAGCATGTGACCAGAAAGACCAGGAGAGCGTTAAACTTGTGTCCCTCCAGAATTCCAGTGTTATCTATCTTGAGGTTTGGCCTGAAGTAACAAATAAGTTAATTGGATACCCTGTGCAATAAACAACTCTAATAAACTCCATCTGATCTTAGCTAACACCTGATACTGGCAATTAAATTACTTGACTGTTTAAAGGATATAAAAAAGTACTCTCTCAAATAATTCATTGCTAGCACTGACCTGATCAAGTTGGAGCTGACCAAAACAGGTCTAAACGGCCATGACTTTAGTTAGTTTAAATATCCTGATCAAATGCTACTATTTAGAGGTAATAAATTAATTCTTTGCCTTTTAGGGATATTTAGAGCAATTATATAAATAACCATGAACTCCTTTATTAAATCCAAAGGCTAAATGGTAAACTAGTGTCATGGTAATACCCTGCATAAATAATTCCAACACCAAGAGGTGGGGTAAATAAGCAAACTGGTTACTTCTCCCCCCATTTTTTCAAATCTGTGCAAAGGCAGAACAGTAGCCCTCTACATAAGGAGGAAGTGCAAACTGAAATCAACTACTGTAAGAGTAACCACTGGATAATGATCCCTGTTATGTGATAGCAGCACAACCACCTGTAAAACTGACTGAAGTGAACTGTTGCCAGGAATTAGCCTCTTATTCACACTCCTCTAGGTTACATGCTATTACATGGTATAATACTGCCAAATGAAACCACCTGAACTACTTAGCCTGTAAGGGAAGCTGGCAGAGAACCTGAGGTAGTGTCAGCAGTGCTTCCAAGCTTTCCTGGAAGCAAGGTTTTTATAAAGAAAGCACAAACAGGGGTGTGCAAAGAATCAAACAAGGGAATGGAAGCAGAAGTGGAATGGTGGGAAATAAGAGGTGCACAAAAGTAGAGACAAAGACATGAGTCATAGAAGTGATGTCTTCCTAGTCCCCTATAATGCAGAACACTAGGAGACAGTAAACAGAAGGGATGCACAGGACCAGCTATTATGTGAAAAATTTCCCCCCCCCCCCAATTCCTTCCACTAGCTAGCTTCCACTCTTACACACCTCCCACAGATTTACTAAAGCCAGAAACCCACCTAATTTATACAGTCTTACCTTTAGGGAGGGTTTTTTGGGCAATTAAAAAACATCACTCAATATATTTTTTTAAATTAATGGCCTGACTTTCACAGGTGCTAGGATTCTGCAGCTCCCATGGTCATTAGTGGGATCTGAGGGCAGTCAGGACCTCTGTAAATCAGGCCATAAATGTGTAGTAAAGGTACATAATCTTATCAGAGTTACGTGTTTTTTCTCAGTGTAATGTGCTGGTGGAGTTGAGCAACAGCAGATAGGTGTTATGTAATGTTTTGATTTATGGTATTTTATATAAGTGTATGGAGAGTATGCAAGTTTAAAGCTAGTGTATAGCAAGAAGCATCTGCAGTTTAGTGGATTTTTTTTTAAATATGTTGAGACCTGTGGCCTTAATCCTACAACTGGATCTGACAAGGCAGAGCAATATGGAAGCTAAGGGAACTTTGGCAGAGCCTGTGCTCTCCTAATATAGATAAGGGACTGTTGGAATATATTGAAAATGAATCCCTTGACTAGAATAGGATTTAGCTTTTGCCTTTTGTATACAGCTATTTGCCCCTTTACATGGATATCTTTGCAAATTTCAAGGAGTTAAGTTCAGTGGGCAGCAGAGGAAGACTTTCACAATAGCAGTGAAATGACTAGATCTCTTAACAGTTCGTTTGCAGACTATAACAATTGGGCTTTCTTGAAGTTGCACAGGGGAAAAAAATGGAGGGGAGTTGTTAACTGGAGTTCCATGGGTTATTTTCAACCTTCTTCAAAATAGCTTTATGCTTAGCAATTTTGGACTTGAAAATAGTTCTCAGCATATCAAAACCATGGAATAGTTGCAATGTGCTAGCTCAGGATGTATCCATACCATCTTGTGTGGTCAGCCTACTAGATTAAAAGAGATCTGGAGAGTAACACTAGATCACTACTTGACTAGGGGACCTTTCTAGACCACAGTCAACTCGAAGTAATGTTGACAAGTCAGCATTTGGCACTCTTCCCGCTGCTTCAAATCATCTGTCTTGTAATTAAGGGAGGTAGAGTATAGATAAAGATTAGGCATGGGCCATGTACTGCTATTTTTTCCTAAGGGCAAGTGTTAACTGATGTTTAAAAGTTACATATCGCCTGTATCACTCTCCCTGAAGTTTCTATTGGAAAACATTGTAATGAGCTGACTTGCAAGTGTTCTGTCTGCTAGAAGGAAAAGAGCTTCACTATACAAGATAATCCCTCTACTACAAACATTCTCATCTAGCTAAAGTGAGAGGGGCTTGAGTTCTAGATCAGGAAGATCTCAGTTGTATCCCCACTGCTGCCAGGAAGTTCCTAGTAAGGGTCCGCTGCAGCAGCAATAGCCATTAAGTTCCTAGAAATCCTAAGATTTGCAGTATATTTTACTTCCTGTTCTGTCACAACTGGTTTTGAACTGAGGATAAAGACACGTCCATGCTCCATGAAGAGAGATTCTTCTGTAGTTAAAGCACTGTGGTATCCTTAAGCTGAAAGAAACAAGATAATTAGTTCAATTCTAGCAGCTGACAACTATATTGAAAAATTTTAAACATAAGAGTTTTCCCATGCAAGATAATTATAGCTAGTCAAGTATCTGAGGGGTAGCCATGTTAGTCTGGATCGGTAAAAAAGTGACAGTCCTGTGGCACCTAATAAACTAACAGACTTATTGGAGCATAAGCTTTCGTGGGTGAATACCCACTTCATCAGATGCATGTCAGAAACCAAAGCTTTTTCTGAAGTTTTACTTCCAAAATTGCCATTTTTCATTTTGACTTAATGTCAGTTCCACTTTTTTTGGGCGTGTGTGTTTTCAGTATTCCCTTCTCCCCCACTAGAAAGAGGGCAGGGAAGAGGCAGTAGCTAAAGAATTTTGTTAAAATACTCCTCAGTTTTACAACTGGTAAAGTAGTGTTGGATTTGTTCTCCTCTTCCCTGCCTTTCAGTTTTCAAAAACCAAACTGCCGGCTCAGGTTGATTTAAAACTTTGTTTCAAAATTTCCTGCTGAGAAAACTGACATTGTCCCTTGGACATTTTCTGACAAAAAAAGTTATGGAAAAAATTGAGCAGCTCTAACTCCAAATTCTATGTTCCTTTGATATCTGGGATAAAAGACTCTGCACTTTAGACTTGGCACACAAATGAGCTGATTGTGTGTGGGTTTTTTAAAGTAGCTGTACCTGTAATTTTTTTAAAAAAATCTTTATATACCTAACAGCTGCATCTACCATGGCCAAGTTACAATTTGAGTAGGAACCACATCTCTGAATTTTCTATTTTTGTGCACATAAAGTCTCATCTGGGAGCTACCAAGTTACATTGGGTGTGGATTTGCTTCCATTACATGAGCCTGCAGTGAATTGTTACAATTCACAAACAAGAATTTCCTGAAAGACAATAAGATTTTCATGCTGAAGAGCTGCAGTCTCATACTTGCATTTTTACAGATGAACTTGGTTATGTAGATTTCTGCTTACATTTTCATCTTAACCTAAATACTGCAAAGCCAGGAAGGAAGCAATTATACCTGTCCAAATGCCTTTGTTTCCTTCCCAGAAAGGCTCTACCTCCACACAGACCATTTTGTTCCATTTTTAGTCTATTAAGAACAGAGTATGCTTACCAGAAAGTTGAAGTTTTATTTTCAAGTACACTTTCTTCAGCTGCTCAGACAGTCAGATGAAAGATATGGACTACCACAGTGGTTTCCAAAGTTTGGTCGCAACTCAGTACTAGGTCACGGAATGCAAGGCACTGGATCACCTTGTTCAGCACCCAGGGACCCTGGTGGCCAGCCAGTAAAAACTAGTAGTCCTTACCTGTTCCGATACCGTGCTGCGCCCTGGAAGTAACCAGCAGGCCCAGCTCATAGGCAGGTGGGCCATGGAGCTCCACGTGCTTCCCCCACCCAGAGCACCAGCTCCACACTCCCATTGGCCGATTCCCAGAGCGTCGGGGGGGGGGGGGGGGGGGGGGGG